CCACCCACTGCATCTTGCAGTGGCTTACAAGGTTCATATTTGTAATGCTTCTTTTATCAATATGTTACATTATTCATTTCATATTAGAACAATCACAAAGCAGATTAAATTGTACTAGCAAAGATGTTTTGCTTTTATATTATTAGAATATTTTTTGATATTACTTACAAAATATTTGTTATCAGAAATAATAATAAATATTACAATTTATTTAGCTACAGATGCTGGTGTCATAGCCAACAATCGAATGGCTATTGTTGGAGCTGCTGCAAACCTAGAACATGAATCAGCTAATGGTTATAATAGTGGTGATGAATATACTGGCCGAACTGGGAATAATCTTACATTGGCTGAATGGCAGGAGGTTGATTCAGTTAAAAACTTTTAAAGTTACATATTTTTTGAATATTGAATGATGGAAATATATTGTATTTTTTATATGTAGCGTGATAGGTGGTTTGAAAAACGAATGCGAAAAATGGGATTTATTGTCAAAAAAATGGGGGAGGATGGAGCATGCCTGTTTAGAGCTGTTGCAGACCAAGTTTATGGTGACCAAGAAATGCATGGTGTAGTGCGGAAACATTGCATGGATTACATTGTAAGTAGCATATACAAAGATGATAGGAATCTATTGTCTCAGAATAAATTAATTTCTTGTATCATCTAATTTTCTAGGCTTCCAATCAAGAGTTTTTTTCTCACTTCGTAGCGGAAGATTTTAGCACATATGTAGATAGGAAACGACAAGAATATGTACATGGAAATCATATAGAGATGCAAGCAATGTCTGAAATGTATAATCGTAGCATTCAGTTGTATTGTTACAGTCCAGGTGTGTGTGTGTGTTAATATACGCTTACACCATTTCAATGCTTAAAATAAATCTTTTTTATATGTTTAGTAATATCATCTTTTGTTATTGTACACAGAACCAATCAATATCTTCCATACAATGGTTGAAAGTGATAATGAACCGATACGATTGTCTTACCAACGTGGTAGTCATTATAATAGCATAGTAGATCCGTATAAAGCTACAATTGGTGTTGGACTTGGCCTACCATCGTACAATCCTGGATCAGCAGATCGGCAACTTGTATCAGATGCAGTCCGTCAAAGTGAAGAGTTGCACATTGAACAGGTTAAAAATTATTGTAATAACTTTTTATATTCAAATATTATGCTTCTGCGTATTCCATAATCGTTGCAATTTTTACATTTTACACAAGAAGAATTAATTTTTTATCTGTTCGTAGACGATGCTAGAAGATAAAATAAAAGCAACTGATTGGGAAGCAACAAACGAAGCCATAGAAGAACAAGTTGCTAGGGAAAGTTATTTGCAGTGGTTAAGGGATAATGAGATGCGAAAAGCTGTAAGTTTCATGTGATTTTCATTCGAACTTTTTCATTAGGAATGTTAAAGACCATTTCGTAATTCATTGAAGCGATCAGCCAGTAGTAGCAGTACAAGTACGGTAACAAGTGCGCAACATAGTCACACGCATTTTCACTCTCATGGAGGTCGTGGTCAACAACGTAGTCACACTTCTTCTCCAACCACGACCCAAACTAGCCAAGATACTTTACGTAATTCTCCGAAGGTCCGCTTTATACTGACGTTGCTAAAGCAATATAGCTTTAATGTTTTGTATATTTTAATTAATGATTTTAGGTAAACGATTCGGTAAGATACAACAAACGATCCCCGCAACATCAATCGACTCAAGGATCTACCATAGCTCACATCACCTCAGAATTTGAACCTAAAATCTCTCAAGAACCTGTACCAGGCAGCAGTAAAGAAGCTCATGCTTCACCAGACATCTCGTTGTTCAACCGTCTTCCTCCTGAAGTGTTTGGTAAGAAGTTAAACCATGGTAACGTATATAATCACTTTTAAATCAACCAATAATTTTGACGAAGAAGGATAATTTTTACCATGCAAAACTATTTTTATGTATTACTAGGTTTGACCGATTGGGAAGACAGTGATATACTCA